ATAAACTATGTAAACTATATATATTATTCTAGTCGATTAAGTCATGTAACATGTTATTAAACTCAGACAATCTCCAGATCTCGGATCTCGCTCCAGATATCTTTCCTCGAAGCAAGGCTGAAAACAGATTAATCGTGGCATACAATGTGATCAAAATCGCGATATGCTTACTTCTGTTGATCCCGCTCCAATAGCAGCCAGTCGATACAGCTTAAGACACTTGGAGCTAACGCCTCGCAGAAGGGAAGATTAATTCGAAACAAGTTGGTCGATGATACAATCAGCGACGAGAGGATGATATGGTCTTTCTAAATTACTATAAATCTGAATATTCAACAATTAAACGATTTAGAATAATAAATATATATTCTAGGCATATTATTCTGGTCATATTATTTGAGTACCCTGGTAAGGTATCAATGAATCGATCCATCTCCCTCGAAGCAAGCCTCTGAACGGTAGCTGAACGTTGAATAACTGCCAACTGACAGTGGGGTTAAACAGCATTAAGTGGAAATGCTTAGAACAAAAGTTATTGATTTTCCAAGAGCAACGAAGAAGGAAATGCAGTATTTGGCCTGACCTGCGAAGGTTGCGTTTTCCTTGTCGATTTGGTAAAACGGAACTCATCAAGCTGCCGCATATGCCGATCTCCGGTTACTGATCGGCTAAAAAACTTGGTGCGCAAAGTACCGTCGTTTGGATGAACGGTGATCAGGGCCGCCTGAATTGCGAGGAGGAGAAAACTCTAGCAAATGCCTGGCTATGAACCGCTTCTTCTGTATATCAAGAAATCACAACTGCGATTGTGTGGACATGCAATTAGGATGGCATCTTTTGGTGCATCCTCTTGTAAAAACCAGAGGAAACTTCGCTAAAAGACAGAGAGCGGAGAGATTACTCGATTAAAAAGGAGCTGTGACTGTAACACTTTGGAATCCAGATATCACAACATTTCGTTGGGGAGGGGGGCGGCACTGGAAAATTGTCTTGAAGGAGTTGCCCCACGCCTGAGAAAAACAGTAGGACATTAAAACATATGAATGAGCGTTCAGACCGGAAACAAGTTAATGGGAAAGTTATCGCAACACAGTGGAATAGATAATGGGAGGGGATGTTTAGTTTACTTTAGGGATCATCATATGGTCACAATTAATGGTCGGACATTAATAAGTTTGCCGATGACAGAAACATGATCCGAATAGTTTAAACTTCAAGTTCTACTCCTGTTCATCATGTTTAACTTGATTGCAAAATCGATAATTAACGCAGAAAAATATTTTCTTCCACACTGAAAACACTGCAAGATGATCCTCAACTCGAACGTCTGCTCTCAACCCTAGCATTAATTTTTGGCAACCTTAGACGAGTATCTTATAAACTACCAGCAATTTTTATCACGCTGTGGCGTTTTAGATTTTTTATAAAGTAGGCTCCATTGTTCAACTTCTTTGGTAGTCTATAAAGAAACTATATTTTAAAAAATACATGAATAATATGATAACAAAATGGAGACTTCGTTTTTCCTGTTCTGAAAAATAAGTCACAGTAAGTCTTCGTCAAATTTTTATAGCAACTAAAAGGCGGTATAAGCCATAGCAAATTTTGCCTTGTTATTAAAAAAACAACGAAAAATCTATTCAAGCATATATCTTTAGATGTAGAAACATATCAGCAGAAAGTGACTAAGTTAATCACCTGCCTATAAACGAAGAACTAATGAACAATCAAAACGCGTTAATGAGGGGATAACGGATTCTGCATCACTTAAACTAACCCCTCCCCAACAGATGGGCATGAATGGTCTGAAGCGTACATAACTGCCATCATCGGCAGCAGGTGCATATATATGCTTCCCATCGCCACGGATGCCGCAAAGGCAGTTCAACCCTGAAACGGGCATTTAAAGAATTATCAGACTGAGATATACATTTTTTGTTGCCTTCCTAACGATCAACACGTAATACAAGCGCATAAACAATACTGAGAAAAAAGATTTTATTCACCTGCATCAAAGCCAAGTGCAGCGCCTGCAAAAACCTAGCCACGCATCGTTCCGAGATCTGTTCGTAAGAGCGTTTGCTACAAAACAGTCTAAAAGGCAGAGAACGATAAGATTAGGATAAGGAACAGCATGGCGTCATGAAGCACTTTCAGCGGCTAAGAGGGGCACTGACCTGCAAAGGCCCGACAACGCCTCAGCTTTCGCCGCTTGAAAACCAGTCACTGCCGGTTCCTTCTTCTCCATTTGCGAAACGTTAGCGTTCCTTGACAGAGTGTCGGAATCGTAGGAACTGAAAGATCCAATCGACTTTTGGGACACGTTGTCTTAAGGAAGGCAAAATGCCAGGTTAACGCAAAGAGAATATAAACCATCTGCCCTACCCTCTTGAGCGATAATTCGCTGTTCATCGAGAAACGCCGCTTGAAAGAGCCAATCTCCGATCAACCTAAGGAGACTATCGACGCTAGGCCGATTTTCCGGCAGAACCAAGTTCAGCTCCGGCTTCAGCAAAAGACCTACAAACGTGAAACAGTCACAACGATGCTTCATGTTTTCTGGCTTTCTGACACATCCAGAACACTCACGGTCTGGAAACATGATTTATCAACAAAATAAGTGGCCATTATGAAAGAAAGTCACCATCTTTTTTCTTCGTTACGCCTTTTCTGGTCATGGTGTCTGATGTATTCGACTTTTGGCTGCAATTCACCTTCACTTACCTGTTAGATGACTAAAAATCAATAAAGGTGTAAACCACATCCATTCTAACGCAATTTCAATTTCTGTTACGCAGGTGTGTAAGGATCCTGTGAGCATTCTTAGCAGTCCCTGAAATATGCGTAAAGACACAAAAGACCAATAACCTTTGAGTATGATGCTGATCACATCTGAGTCGCATAAGTTTGGCACTGAGGTCTTGGAAGATGAGGCAGACGCCCTTATTTCCTTCGACTTGATGTTGGCGGTCGGCAACCTTCCAAGAATGGTCATGCGGTGAAACGAGCCGGACTGAGAACCGGGAGCGTGCGAAGACGCACTCTGTGAGCTCTGCGAAGGCTGTTGGGCCTCTTGCCATGACTTCGTGATATCCTCTTTGCTCTTGATATCGCAGTCGACGGCAATTCCTGGTAAAATAAAGATGAATAAGAATAAAACGGGAAAAACTACTGCAAGTCTCCAAAAAAGAGGAAACGGATCAGAACGATACCTAGGAACCCGTTGAGGATGCAGTTCAGCCCGAACAGATACCGAAAATAACAGTATGGCAGCGACGACGATGAGGAGACAGCGATCACCACTGAGTCGCTGCCTTCACGATGCTCGCTTTCCTTGTCGTTTGTTGACATGTCTTGGTCTGAGCGTGCGAAAAACAGCGCCGGGTTCTTTAACAGACAAAACAACCGATACCAGGTCTGTTTGACGACGTCCGGTTGCAGGTCCTTGCGAAACAACTGGTCATCTTTAGCTAGAATCATCGCTGATTCATTGGATTCATTGATGCGTTGCACAGATGACAGTTGGGACGACACGACATCCAACGTACCAATCCGTAATTTACTGTAGCCGGGGCCATACATCTGGGAGAGCATTTCGTTTGTGAGCATGATGCACGACGTGATCCATATCTCCAGTAGCGGAGCTCGTTGGCGCCAGCGACGGCAGTACTTAGAAAGGGTCTTCCAGAACGAAGGGCAAGGAAAACAACCGCTGAAACATGCCTGAAGCCAAACCAAGAACAGCACGTTTAGACTCTGCGTAGCAAGAGAAACGTCTAGAAACAAAAACGACGGTCAAACTAAAATGTAAACTGAATGTAACATTAATAAATCAAAATAAAATGTGACAACACATAAAAGCAAGCAGGATTTCTTCACTCATGAACAAGTTAAAGGACATCGATACAAAACAGAAGTCCATGGTTGAGGTAACAGAAGTGAATCTCCTTCAGCATCTGTAGAACAGACATCGTCAGCAAGTGGCACAGCATTCGACTGCATGTTATCACCGACTGTGAATAACTGTAATAGGGCGCATACAAATAGCTGACTTGACAACTGACAGCACATCACTGAGTCATACAGTGCAAGATCATATATGAATTAGGTTTTGATTTGTAGAAACCATCTTTGAAATTGCACTTTGATTGCAATTCGTCGAAAAGTTTACAGCTTGGAACACCTACTCAAGGATTTAATTAGGCGTATCTGCAGGAAAAAATGATATCTGCATTTTCAATCCTGTTTTGGCCGATCATATGCACGGATAATGCAAATGACAGTTGCTACCCTCTGTTCATACACGAGATTGTATTACGATCCAATCGTCCCGTCGTTTTAGAGGTCAGACGTGTGATCTCGTTAGGCATTGTGAGAACGACTTCGTTACTGCCGTGATCCATTTGAAATCTGGCGTCTGAACCAGATGCACAGCCCTCAGCAATTCATTATGTCTGCTTTCGACGATCATACCTTTCACTCTGCTTCATTGCCCAATGGCCGGGAAAGATGTTACGATACGAACCGGAACCTCAAAGCCTCCTCGACTCAATTAACACACATCACTCTAACTTCTCTCTGCTTCCGTATGCTCTTGTGGACAACCGGGATTCGTCGCCCATACAACATTGCTGGAAGCACCATTAAGTTTCGCGTTTGGTACGCATCCTACTTATTCGCCCTGACAAGACTTTATTGTTGGAGTAATATGAAAGTATTTATATTATTATACAGGTATAACATTCATAT